GGGCCCTTCAATACGGTTTAAACAGTTTAAACATTCATCAAACTGCAATCAGCATTCTGAAGAGGCAGATGAAACACTGACGGACGAAATGTCTTTCATTAAAACACTGTGGATGTATTCTGTAAAACAAAGTGGATGTATGATGAACTGAAACGAATACAAAGCAAGAAATTGCCCCAGCTGAATTTCTTCCATTAAAGTCAAATCTGTCTTTTGCTCCACTTCATTTTTCTCTCGCCCCCTCCTCCCTTTAGTCCTCTCTGTCTTTGTTTCCTCTAACTCTTTGTTTCCAAATCTCTCATTCCCCCTGTTTGATTTGCAGCTAGGGATTGCTGTAAATTGGGACTATTTTGGGAAACAAAGCAGTTTAAATGACCTGACAAAATTCATTCTGGTGCCCCCATGTCATTCACTCCCTTTCGATTTCTTCAGCCAGCTTCTCGTTTATGTGGGACATTCGGACGGTGTTTTCATTGGCTGGGCATTTGGCCAGTGCCACAGGAGTTATGGACAGGTGTCACAAGCAACTTCTGTCTCTCCTGCCTTTCCTGTTTATCCCAAGGGGGCAGCTGGATTCTGCAGACTAGACACTGAACAGAGGTTAACTGCAGTGACCTTAAAGAGCACAACAACCTGCATCTTACAGAGTTGGACCTCAGGGACCTGTGGGAGTTTTCTGTGCATCTGGTATTGAAGTTGTCGGGCCGTGGGACTGGAGTGATTCACACTATTAGATGGTACTGATCACAATATGCTTAAGGCACAATTGTAAACACATTAAACTCGTTTTCAACTTTAGTCAGTCAGTAACTGGTCTGTGTGTGATAGTTTAACACCACCAGGTAATCATGCTGCTTGTTTATTTATTGTCTCTGAGAATCATTAGCACAAATTTCTCTCTCTCTCTCGCACGCACGCACACACACACAGAGAGATGCATCAAAATATATTCATTTTTATCTAAATGTGCACATCCCATAGACTTCTACAGACTCACCCTGACCTATCCTAATCAAAGGAAATGTTTAGCTAATTTACAATAATAATTAAAGAAAACCACAAAAACGTATTTAGTTCTAGTTCTATTTATTGTTATTCCAGTTGAATTAAATGTTCCTGAGAGTCTCCAAAGAAACGTTTTTACATATTTGTTCTATACATTTTGTTTACAATTTTGTACAAAACTATAGCTAAATATATTCACAAGCACACTTTTTTGTCATTGTGGGTACTTTGCACTGACTTGCATTACTTTTACTTTGCACTGACTTCTATGCTCTCTAAAGCATCTTGGAGACGTTGTCACAGTTCTTCTGGATTTAGTCTGTCTGAGTTTGGTCCATTTCTTCAAGTCATTCCAGACGGACTGGATGATGGTGAGACCAGATCTCTGTGGAGCACTAGCTGCTGTCAGACTCCTTGTGCAAAGAAAAATCTCACTGGATTATTACAATTAATGGCAAAATGAAAGTTTGGAAATGAAAACTGATATTTCCTACTGACACACTACTGCAAAAGATAGAAATAACTGACTTAAAACCATTATTTAGCTGCTGAAAATACTAGTGTTCTAATAATTTTGGCCATATATATTATTATATCATTATATATATATATATATATACAGTATATATAAAATATTTGACAGTATACAAGTGTACAATATGTAACAGATTACAGCTTTTTTTAAAACATCTTTAGTTAGCTTAACACCACTCCCCACATACAAGAAAGAAAACAGATGTGAGAGAGCAAAAAATGGAATGCACATGTTAATCACATAAAGGAGGAGTAATCACATAAAACAGCCCTGACTCACATCACATCCTGATAAGGCAGTTGTATGATTGTGTGTTGCATAAGTCCAAATCAACCCCAGTCTTACACATGCTTCCTGTGTGGAGGTGATGTCGCGAGTGTGTGATTGGCAATAAAAAAACATGGTTGTGGCAGTGCATGTTTTGTTCTCCTGACAGGCAGAGCACTGTTTGCACGGCCAGGGGTGAGTCTCAGATGCACGGCCCGACAGAGAGAGAATCCCACCATTTTTTGATAATGATGTGCCATGCTTCCTCAGCTGTCTGTGCCTGCTCTCTAAAGGTTTTTTTTAATGACAGATAAGCTCAGAGAACTAAAAGGATATTTAAAGCTGTCAGAACCTGACAACCATTACCCACTCATTTACATGTCTCTAAGCATGCTCCATCAGGACGACTCACAACTCTGAAGCACCTAGTTCAGGCTTTAATGAACTACACCTTTCCCTCCCTTTTCTTTTATTTTCTACTTTCTCAGTGCTTGGTAACAAGAGATCATGTCTATGAGGGATGAGCAAAATACACAATTTATGAAGTGAAATGGTGCCAATTCAGGGGGAATTTAAATTGCATAGGCCACACATTCAGTGGGGAAAAAAAGTATTTAGTCAGCCACCAATTGTGCAAGTTCTCCCACTTAAAAAGATGAGAGAGGCCTGTAATTTTCATCATAGGTATACCTCAACTATGAGAGACAAAATGAGAAAAAAATCCAGAAAATCACATTGTAGGATTTTTAAAGAATTTATTTGCAAATTATGGTGGAAAATAAGTATTTGGTCAATAACAAAATTTCATCTCAATACTTTGTTATATACCTTTTGTTGGCAATGACAGAGGTCAAACTTTTTCTGTAAGTCTTCACAAGGTTTTCACACACTGTTGCTGGTATTTTGGCCCATTCCTCCATGCAGATCTCCTCTAGAGCAGTAATGTTTTGGGGCTGTCGCTGGGCAACATGGATTTTCAACTCCCTCCAAAGATTTTCTATGGGGTTGAGATCTGGAGACTGGCTAGGCCACTCCAGGGCCTTGAAATGCTTCTTACGAAGCCACTCCTTCGTTGCCCGGGTGGTGTGTTTGGGATCATTGTCATGCTGAAAGACCCAGCCATGTTTCATCTTCAATGCCCTTGCTGATGGAAGGAGGTTTTTACTCAATCTCACGATACATGGCCCCATTCATTCTTTTGTTTACACGGATCAGTCGTCCTGGTCCCTTTGCAGAAAAACAGCCCCAAAGCATGATGTTTCCACCCCCATGCTTCACAGTAGGTATGGTGTTCTTTGGATGCAACTCAGCATTCTTTCTCCTCAAGTTGAGTTTTTACCAAAAAGTTCTATTTTGGTTTCATCTGACCATATGACATTCTCCCAATTCTCTTCTGGATCATCCAAATGCTCTCTAGCAAACTTCAGACATGTACTGGCTTAAGCAGGGGGACACGTCTGGCACTGCAGGATTTGAGTCCCTGGCGGCGCAGTGTGTTACTGATGGTAGCCTTTGTTACTTTGGTCCCAGCTCTCTGCAGGTCATTCACTAGGTCCCTCCGTGTGGTTCTGGGATTTTTGCTCAGTTCTTGTGATCATTTTGACCCCACGGGGTGAGATCTTGCGTGGAGCTCCAGATCGAGGGAGATTATCAGTGGTCTTGTGTGTCTTCCATTTTCTAATAATTGCTCCCACAGTTGATTTTTTCGCACCAAGCTGCTTACCTATTGCAGATTCAGTCTTCCCAGCCTGGTGCAGGTCTACAATTTTGTTTCTGGTGTCCTTTGACAGCTCTTTGGTCTTGGCCATGGTGGAGTTTGGAGTGTGACTGTTTGAGGTTGTGGACAGGTGTCTTTTATACTCATAACGAGTTCAAACAGATGCCATTAATACAGGTAACGAGTGGAGGACAGAGGAGCCTCTTAAAGAAGAAGTTACAGGTCTGTGAGAGCCAGAAATCTTGCTTGTTTGTAGGTGACCAAATACTTAT